GAAATCGTTTCTTGGTAGATGTATTAACTTATATAATAGAATGGGTGACATCCAGAAACAATTAAGTTTAAATAATTTCAAGCATTTTGTAATAGCCACCTTAATGGAAAGGGCTTATTATAATGTCGAGGAATACATTGAGGACAAGGATGTGTGGAAATGACTCTTGCTTTGCACTTGCAAGTCCCCTGGCTCCTGCTAAATTATACTAAAATAATTTTGTGTGTATACTTAAATACTTAAAAAAAAATATAAATAAAATATAAATATATGACCGCAGAGTTTCTTGCCGGTTCTTCTCTTGCAGGTCTAGTTTAGTGAACCGGTGGTAGTTTTTGACGTTCAATAAGAGCTTAAAATAAGCCTATGTTGAATAAAGAAATTTTGACTTTGAGGCTTTCAGAGGTCTATGAACTTTATGAATTGCGTACTTTTCTATTTTTATTGGCGTACAACATATATCTTAATTGATCTGTTAATTGATAAAGTTTTAAGTGAAATGTGATGTAAAATAAATCGAAAACAAATACAATTTTTAGGGTTCCGTGCCCAAATGGTAAAACATGATATGCTCCCATACAACAGACATGAATTTTTGCCGTTTTTATAGATAATGGTACGGAACAATTTGTGCGCGTGTCCGATTCGAACTTGACCGGTTTTTGTTACTTTAACATCTTTTGCGTGTCATCAAAATTGTATTTTTGTATGTTATTATTATTGACACCGTTCTTTCAATGTCATAATGAGGAGTGGTAATAACATAACGGCAAGTAGAGCACAGACTATAATTTTTTTGTGTTTTGCCTGCTTAGATAATAAGGGGCTTATCAATTTTAAGATTGTGGGTGTCCCCAGGCGGTCCTATGCCGCATTTAATATCTTCCTCTTAAGAAGTAAATAAGATATTTGCATGTGTTTCTAAAATAAAAACTTATTTAAAATAAAAGCTTTAGCCTAAGTTTTTAGCCCCGAACTTTATTGAAACTCGAGTAAATAGATGTTTCGATTTTATTCATATTAATTATCTGTTTATTTGTCCGGACTAAAGTAATAATAATAATAATCAGTCATTTATGGCGATGTCATATATTCTTCAAAGGAAGTTTTTTTCATGAAAATATTAACTACTTATGTATATTCTATTTATCTATTTTACGTTAATAGCGATGAACATTAACTTTAAAATGGTATTTGGATTAAATCATTTTTGATGAAGAATTATGGCATATCGACTGGCGTACTATTATACCAGAGTTTTTGAGAAGTTCCCAAATTTACACAGGAGGTTCAGACTCGGTAGTATAAACGTTTATTGAAATAAAAAAAAAGCTTTTTTCCAAAAAAAATGCCATTCTATTCCCTAAAAAACCGAACGTGTTGACAATGCGGTAGTTATTCATACATATCTAAATTTTACTGTGCACAAACTTGTGTGCGTGTTAGTTATGAATGATCTTTACTTAATACTTTTTTTAAATATTTATTATAGTGTACATTTAAATGACTAGTTTTTGTGTAACATTATAAAAAAATAACTAAAACAAAAATACTATTTAAGGTTGTTTCAGTAGCATAACATGACCTAGAAGCAAATTCACTAATCTATGATATCATGAGTATAATGCAATAGCGTTTTATGTTTACAGATATGTTGATATTTGTTATTAAAATTCAAGCATAAGCAATTATCAATAAATGTATTGTAAAGTTGTTAATACAGCCGCTGGACATTTTCCTGGTACTGTTTAGCAGTTTTCCAACATAAAAGTGATGTGAATATTGTCAAGGATGTAAAAACTCCTCGAGTTAAACTTTACGGCTGGTATAGCATAACTGTGGGCAACGCACGGTTTTAAACATCTAGGCATACATAGGGACAGACAGACAGCGGGTCGATTTTGTTTTATACTATGTAGTGATGGAAACGCATCTGCAACGTATTGCAACGTATGCAAGGGGTATTACATCAAGTGGACGCCGGCTCGCCTGCCACCTTCTCATATAAAAAAACAACCTGTGATAAGTCATAATATTGACTTCATGTAGCATCAGGCTTTCGTACCCGTTCATCAGCGTATTAGGTCAACCGATATAAACCTATGACAGCATCACAGTGAATCAGTAGGGTTCATGCAACGTCGTGATCACTATTAGTACAAAAAATAACCCAGGCAGTAGAGTACTTCTCCTTCTGTACTCCCGGTACTCACGTCCCGCCAGGCGAGTACATAATGCACACGGACTAAGTAAATAACATGACTCCGCGCCGCGAATATTAATGGTGAAGCGTTTATATAGATCGTATAGATATTTCAGGCATATTCAGGCGTTTTCGTGGAAGGGCTTGGGAAGTAAGTCCCAGCGACTACTGCGACCTAGAAGATGTATTATAGCCTATTTGAGGGATACCAGGTAATAAAAATATCCCATTTTTTTTGTATTTTGCCAGTTCATTCATTTTGTTTTAATAAAACGGGACCAGAAGTTCAGTTACATTATTTAATTGTTAAAATTTATAATCAAGTATTACTTTTGTATGAATGACAAAAAAACACTGCTACAATAGGTACGTAATTCTGGATTGTGTTAATGTGGGCAAGTTATGTACAAAAGGGATATAGTGGATGGAGTATTGAAGATTACCTGAAAGAAACAAACTGTAAAGACGATTTCAATCAAATTTGTTGTAAATTAAGCTAGAATATTTGATAAAGGACATATTCTATTTTTTATTATCAAAATCATCAGCACGTGGGAAAAATAGCGGGCGCAGCTAATAGAAAATAAAACTCCAAATAGCGACTCAACTTATTTAATCACATTCCTCATAACTAATAAAAACTCAGTAACCCTAGTACGGTTTTAGTGTCGATCGTAGAAACACTGTTAGAAACACATGATTCAAATGAGTTAAATTTTATGCAGGGTCCATTTTGTTTCGCTATAAATGATTTCATTTTTTTTGTGACGTGTAGTTTGCTGTTAGCCCGGCGGCTTTGACAGCTTCGGCGGAAAAGGTCCGCGAGCAGACGACCCACGGACTCGGGAGACCATTTTTCTGAGTGTTTTTTGTTTTTAAAAACAGTGCCCTTTTTCTGAATAACATAATCCTGTGTTGTAAAGACGTTTTACTTTCAATTTCACGTGGTGAAATTTGTGTGTGTGTACAGCCAAACTCGAAAAAGTTATCTGTGGTCGCACTAATTGTTGTCTCGAATGGGAATCGAATCTACGACCCCCGAAAGCTTTTTTTATGTGAGCAAGTGGCAAACGAGCTGGCGGTTCACCTGATGTTAAGTGATAACCGCCTGCCCATAACATTTAACATTTGTAACACGCGTAGTGTTGCAGATGCGTTACCACTTGGCTCCCGGCTACCTCACTCACCAGACGAAACGCAGTGGTGTAACATTTCTACTTGATGCCGGTCTTCTGTGAGGTCGTGGTACTAACCCGGACGGACCAGCCCATTCGTGCAATGGCAAACACTGTTGCGTGGCCCTTCCACCGAATAATATGGGGCCACATGGGAGGCATCAGATTTCAAATAAAAAAAGAATCATAAAAATAGGTTCAGTCAGTCGAAAGTTCTGAGGTAAAAACATAAAATATAAACATAACAAACACAGTCGAATTGAAAACCTCCTCCTGTTTTGAAGTCTGTTGACAATGTAATACTACAAATCACGGTTTTGTTTTGTTTCGGTAGAATCCAATGGCCTTCATATCTGCAGCTTCATCTTCAAATATATAAAATTCTCGTGTCACGGGGTTCGACCTTGAACTCCTCCGAAACGGCTCGACCGATTTTTACCAAATTTTATATGCCTATTCAGTAGGTCTGAGAATCGGCTACTATCTATTTTTCATGCCCCTAAGGGATAAGGGTTGTTCAAAATTAACTTTTTTTTTTTAATTTTTGGACAAAATTTTTTGTTTTTATTTTTTTATGATACAGCGTACAAAAATACATACAACCCTAAATTTTCACCCCTCTACGCAGACGTAGTCGCGGGCAGCAGCTAGTATTATGTATAATTTTCATCCAATCATTGTTTCATGTTTTATTTGATGTTTCTAAAATAAACTACTTAAAGTACTAATCCTGCGCAGACGAAGTCACGAACCTAATGAAACCTTTAAAATTAATCTTAATAACTTGCAGAGAAAATTAAAAAGAACACAGTATAACGGTTTACCCAATTTCTTGCAACTTTTTTTCCTTGCAACACATACATTTGTTAAGGTTTTGTGTTCCGATATCAATGATTTTAAAATGTCAAATATATTATAAATACATATACTAGTTAAATTATTTTCTTACCTGTGATATATTATTTCTTGACGCTTTTTCTGGGATGTAGCATTATTTTTACATCATTTCACAACACAACATGGTACTATTTTATTTTTAATAATGCCCACATAGACGCCGTCGTGGAGTCGCGTAATGGCGGGCTGTCGGAGTACTATGATTTTAATGCGTGCGTACAAATGTTCCGGCATACTAAAAATGCTTCACTTTCGATATGCGTGCCTTGGAGTCCTGTTATTTTTCTAGTCCGTGAATACACATGTTGTCCCCAAAATTCATTATTTATCAAAATGCAATGCAAAACATCTAATGTTTACACACTTATATATTTTAAGTAACGTACGTAGTTTTATCCTTCGAGGATATTGGTGAATGAATGTAATAGGACATATTGTTAGCTAACAAAAAGATTCGCGCCTTTTTCCAAACTAGAGACACTTCCGCACTTCTATCGAACGCGTCTATGGTTGAAAGTTGTGATGTTTCTAAAAAATATTGTTTTTATCTTTAATATTGAGGGTCTAAATAAACAACGAAAACGTAACACATTTCTATATAAACTTCATGGTTCTTATTTTAATGTGAATAAGAAGTTCTCTTTTTGTAAATTTATTAGACCTTAATGTGCTTTTTCGTTAATTTGCCTAGCGTATATTGTTGGAATTAAAAAGAAGATTGTTACCTCATGGGACACGCCATTTTCACTGATCAAATTAAAAAACTTTAACACAAATTCGGTATATGCGCACACGCGGTACACAAGACGTTTGACGTGCGCGCTTTCTCAGCGCGTGGAGTCGTTACTGACAATCACTGACTCTGGCGCGTTTGCGATTTCATCATTCGCCTCTTGATAAGTTGTAACTTAAAACTACGCCGATGCTTTGCGCAAACAGTACTTTGGTTTGATAAGCAAAACTGCTATTTAATATCGATTGATTTAATTTATCAATAAGTTTATCTATATGTAAAACATTAATGAAATATTAACATGTTATAAGATGGATACAGGGTAACTAACACATTAAAGAAAAACAAGGAAATTTGGTCGATAAATACAATGTATTCACAAAATACTTGGCTCAAAACAATTAAACAAAATTTCTGCATACACTTTGGGTTGTTACAACTCCTCACCCAGTCTAAAACGAATAAAGAACACATATTAATTATTATTGTGTACTCAAGCGTAAAATGAGTTTATTGCATTTGAAATGTATAGAAGCGTATGGGAATTTTTTATCAACGTATTGCCGAGAATCAAATCAAATGTATACTTATTACTACCCACACATTTTTTATGTCATATATGTATATATATATGCAATTTTTTGTATAATAATTGCTGCTATAAGTTGTTATTATACAGCGTGTCGTTACTACCGCGACAACAAATGAACACACGTCTAACGCTACTTGCCAATAATCATAAAAAAATATTAACGTTAAAAAACTCCATAGTTAAAAATATATTTTTCCAACAAACTAATTAAGTAAAGAGGAAACAAAATTTGTAACATCCTATACATCTACAACTGACTGATTCATACATTCAGAGACTTTTTCATTCGTTGCCACAGCGTCGCATTACAAGCCTCTCCTTCTAACAGTATGTTTTGTCTCTTTTAAATTCATTCAACCCATTCATATGCTTTGTGACCTTTACAAATGAACTTTACGTTACAGTTTTATACGTAAGGATGTTCTAAAATTTAATAACTCGGTAAATATTGATGTTTAAAAAATTTAAATGTTTAATACAATTTTAAAATGTTATCCTCTAAATGTGTGTTCATTTATTGTCGCGACTGTAAAGACACGCTTTATATGTTATTAGTTTGTTTCTAAATGCATAATTCAGTTATACAATTTTCAATCACTACCTCTTCTACACGTGCCTAAAAGATTTACGCGTGACGTCATCACGTGATTTGTTACGAAGCTTCCCCTATTCTCTCGATTCCCTCGTTGCTGTATTGTTTACCTACACTTCTTCCCGTGTGGGAATCGAACCCGTTGTGGGTTCGATTCCCTCCCTGAAGTCGAAGCTAATAACGAAAGCAATGGCGCCAGTGAGTCAATGTGCTGCGGTATAACAAATATTGTATAAAACAGGCAAAATCAAAATCAAAATCAATGTCTTACATAGGAGCATTACACTCGCTTATTGATAATCAAAACACTACAACCGGTTCGGAAAAGAAAGCCACTGTACTGAGAAGAACCGGCGAAAGAAACTCAGCGGGCTTTTTTTATATAAGCAGTTTGACATGAATTCATTAAAAATACAATATAACGACTCTGACTGAAAGAGCCTGGAGCGATCAGTTCATTACCAGAGTGTGTTATCATTTAAATAATCATTAATATTATATTAGCCTTTAACACACAAACGTTCTTTTACTATTTTCTTAAATTTAGCTATTGATGCATTTTGAACGTTTTCTGGAATTTTTAATGTGCGCCGGTTGCTCGGTTCACTTATTCGTTTAAAAAATAAAAATATTAATTGTGATATAGATTCAAAAAATTACTTTTTTTGGTTAACGTGGGGATAATGCCTACGACAACGCGCCTTCGCGGGGGCAAGGCGGGCTATGTCGCACTCGCGCCGACTAAAACCCCACGACTTTACGACACTATCTGACTACGAATAATTTACGTAAAACAGAACCTACTAGTTTCAAATTTTATTTTTTCATTGAAAGTATGGTTATCAGATCTTGCGGATGAAGCAATTTACAAATTCTATACGATGGGGTAGTACCCCTTTAAAAAAATCTGCTGATTAAAGGACTCCTTGGATTTTAAATTTAAATTGACATTCTTTAAAACTGGTATAATATAAGACTTTGATGAGAGATTTTTAAGATTCACTTATGTTTCTGGATTTTTGTCTCTGTTGGTATTGTTATTTACGAGGGGTAGTCAAAATGAGAGTGTGAAATTAAATATCAAATTATTTTTCCTTTTCAATATATTTTCCCTTAATATTAATGCATTTCTCAGATGTATTAAATAATTTGTTTATTCCAAACCGCATCGATGAATAGAGCAGCAGTTGAACTCGACCAGTGCGCACGGGTGCTTTGTCGTGCACAAGGAACACGCCTTTTCCCAATTTCCCTTTTCTTTTTCCTTGATACACTCCTTTAAACGTTCTAATAAGGAAGCGTAGAATTGGTCCGTTATAGTGATATCTCGTTCATTATAATCATTCACTATTTCTGATTGATTATAAAGAATCCGAAAAGGTCGTCGCCATGATTTTCCTTTTCTGATTGCGACAGCCTATTCTTTTTGGGAGATAACTCATATGTTAATGACCCGATTAGGTTCAAATTTGGTATTTATACCCTTTATATATTATTGATTATTGATCGATTTATATATATATATATATATATATATATATATATATATATATATATATATATATATATATATATATATATATATATATATATATATATATATATATATATATATATATATATATATATTGATTATTTTCCTAAATTATTGTAATTAAAATATAATTTAAAAAATGTTGGATCAAATGAGGCAGCATTTTAGTTCATATAATTTACTAGCTGCTGCCCGTGACTACGTGCGTAGAATAGGCTGTAGGCGTCAGAGCTGTAGTCCCGGGCTCTAGAATAGGACTAAGGTATCTCCTGCCTGTCGCCGCAGCACGAAGTGGCCTCGAGCTGCTGCAAGATGGTAAGGGAATCGGGGAAGGTTTATCCTACTCCGCGGCGTGCTCACGCCCAGTACCGAGGGACAACGGTGCGTTCCGTAGGAGATCCCGGAGTCCCTCCAAACGTACAGAAGGTGGCAACCGAGGGGGTTTTAGGGGGTAAGAACCCCAAATAACCCTTAATGACAGGGTATCTTACGAAGATTTCCCCCTATACCAAAAAAAAAAGACGTAGCATTCAGACAGAAAGATAGATATACATAAAAATTGCTATATTATTGTAATTTGATTAAAATCCATTCAGTAGTATTTGCGTGAAAGACTAACAAACATCCGTTGATAAATACAAACTTTCGCCTTTATAATATTAGTAAGGATTACATAAGTTTACTAGGGGTCCCTCAACAACAGAGGGTGTTCAGCTCGTTATGAATGTTTTTGAAGCCTGGGAAGAATCGCAGGATACCTTAGGTATATTCTGTGACTTAACCAAAGGTTTAAAATGTGTAGAAAAAGTACGAAAAGATGGCGACATCTCTCGTTCGAATTATCGTTGTAAAACGTATTCGAAATTGTTTGTATGCTGGAAAGGATATACAACGGATGCGCCAAGCATTGCTTCAAATGCCAAAAAGCAATGTAGATAAAAGACGTTTAGATTTTCCTCGGTGTGGCAATCAGCCGTTTAGCTTAGTTGTAAAAGCGTCAGGCCGCGAATGCCGAAGACGTGGGTTCGATTCCCACAGCGGCAACCATCTTTTCGTACTTTTTCTACATATTTTAATGTTAATCTTAAGTGCAAAGATTAGCACTATAAATAATTTAAATTTTGCAAAGCTTTTGATTTTATACAACATGAGACCCTAGTCAGGAAACTTCGCCACTATGGTATTAGAGATCTCGCACTCAATCTTCTGAAATAGTACTTGAGCCATCGAATTCAGAGAGTTGATGTGAATGGCAAGAGAGAGGGCCCTGGTTAATATGGGGTCCCGAAGGGATCTAATCTTGGGCCTTTTCTCTTCCTCGTTTACATAAACGACTTTTGTGTGTTAAAGGCAAATCATTAATATAATATTAATGATTATTTAAATGATAACACACTCTGTTAATGAATTGACCGCTCTAGGCTCTTTCAATCTGAGTTTTTATATTGTATTTAATTTATTCATGTCATACTATGTATGTCAAAAAATAAAAATAAAGTAATCCGCTGAGTTTCTCTCGCTGGTTCTTCTCAGTTCAGTGGCGTTCTTTTTCGTACGGGTGGTAGTATTTTGACTATCAATAAGTGAGTGTAATGCTCCTATGTTGAATAAAGATATTTGAATATGTAAACATTCATTTTAACTAACTAATTTTTTTCGTAAGTTAATTTGCGGTCCAAACTGAGATTAGACCTAAAGATCCCTTCTTGATCGACCCTTTGGTGTTTTGCCTTTGTCCTCTTTCCTTTTGTTAATTAATTTTCCATCTCTAGTCTGTAGAGGTCGCAGTGTTGCAGTGGTGGGGATGGTGTCATAAAATCGAATAGTACAATACGCCGTTTGTTCTGGATTGAGTCTATGGGGTTATCTACCCCCGAACTTTTTCGACAAAGCTGTCAAAGTCACCGGTCTTAAAGGACCCATTCATTAGCCTGCCAAGGTGTTCCATCAGGACTTATACTCATTAGCTCATGAACTCGTATTTAAGTCGTGGGAAACTCACTGGCTACAGACTAAGAACCATACTGGCAGATATTATTATGACATACAACAAACTATTCCTTAATAAAAGAATAGTTTCTACTATTTGTAGATTAAGAATAGGCCATACTATTTCCCCAGTTCACCTGGCTAAACTCAAAATACGTGATAACCCTGTATGTGATTGCGGAACCGAGGATGGTACAGTGGACCATCTATTCTTTAACTGTCCCAAACTAAATATCTCCCTTTATGACGTCCTACCCACTTCCTCGTCCCATTTGCATGAAAACCTTATTAAGCATAAGAGATTATCAAATTCCCAAGCTTTTGTCTAAAATTATTTCCTATAACAAATTAAAACTATAATTTTATATCACCACAGCTTTATCTGTTTCATGTATGTGTTGTCCTGTATATGACGTCCTTTTATTTCAGGTAAAACATGCTTAAAGCAGTAACCTCCGATAACTAAATTTATATTTTAAAACTGTCATTCCCCTACGTGTAATGGCTAACAACTTGACATTGGCAGAATTGTGATAACTCACAAAGCAAGCCATTATTAAGAAAAAAAAGAAGAATTCACTATCCTGCCTAAAAATCCACCATGCAAGAGTGCAAAACAGAATGTAGCTAACACACAACATTTAGCCATCCATCATCAGTACTGTATCGTTTCTTACGAGAGTCGGTGTTCTCCTAATTATGCGTTTACGTGCTATTTCGAAAAAAGAAAATATCGAATCTGCTATTTTTTATTGAATAAATATATAAAACGGGTATAAGAAAAATTCGTCGTTCTTCCTGACCGATGCGATGTTTGCGGTTACGTCTTTTTTATTCACATTTTTAATAATTGTTGCAACGCCGCATTTGTCAACTGTTTGTTACTGTAATTTTGTTATTTTTGATCCCATCAAATGTGTTTTCTTATATTACAATAAAATCTAAACCTGTGTTGCCCAATGTTGTAACAAAACGATGGACTAGTAGTCCGGGTTCCAAATTCACGCTCTTGCTTGCAACATGGCAGTCCGCTATGCAGGACATGACGGTGACGCTCCTGAATAGCAGACTGCAACCAATGGGCGGAGCTTGCGGGTCTCTTACAAGATGTAAGGGGAATCCTGCTTGGTGTTGATGGGCACCGCAAAGATTACAAAACGTGCATGATTCTGCGTAAAGCAGTGGATGAAAAAGTGTGCTAATGTGCCCTTTACTGCGTGCTACACTTTACTAAATAAAAAAGACGCTGGACAAAGGATCTCCGCCAATGACATTATATACAAGATATGACACTTTCCCTATAAAATGCGAGTATTTATGAAAAAAGAAATCCATATGTAATTTATAAATGTACTATTTTTATGTCCACTGTTTTCTATTATACGTATAGAGATGCAGTTACGTTTCATATCTATTACAGAAATGGGAGAAGCGCTGGCAGGTTTGCACCATCTAGTATTCTGCGGTTACCAAACAAGAAGTTATTATCTTGCACTTGTCAATTTTGAGGTCAAATGACAAGCTATATAATTGACATTTTGAACATCAAATATTTTTGTCGCATATTCAAGTACCTATATTAGAATCAATAGCAATAAAATTGAGAAACAGCAACAACGTCATTGATTTATAACTGCATTACTATGTTTTCTGCATCAAAAATTTTAAGGTTTTAAAAAATTATATTCACAATAGTAGTAAAATTTGTTTTATGGCTTAACCCTGTATTGTAAATATTATTTAAATGTATTTGTGAAAATTATTTGTAAAACTAATGCCTGGTCTAAGAAAAGCAGGCGATTCAACGTAAATATGAAAATTTGTCTATGCTAGCGTTAATTAGCCTGGTCTTGTCGTTTTGATTTTGACGTTTGTATGTTATTTACTATTACTTTGATATGTACGCACTTTGAGCAATCAATCGGAAATAATTCATGTTTCAATAAAATACTGGACACAGAAAACAGACATAAAATTTTCAATTGTTATATTTATCAGAACTGTGAGTATTACATTCGTAGCTGGTTATTTGTCTTGTGTTCGTTTGTTAACAGTTTAAGTGAAGCACTATTATAATTATTGTTTTTATTGTTGTTTTTCATATTTCAAATTTTGAGATTTTAACAAATACTATTAACGCACTGTTAAGCCCTTGAGATATCAGATAATTTTATTAAGCTTGGATTTTTAAAGGTAATATAATACAGTTACACTTTACAAGTGTGAATGACATCAGATCTTAGTCATGTATGACGGTTACAGAATCCATAGAGATATACATTTCTAAGTGTAATTTATATTAATATTTTTTAAATCTTAACAAGACTTCTTTGTAAAGTAACAAGTAAAACTTTCACAATCTGAAACAATCCCACTTACCTACCTATGTTACAGTTATCTTATCTTCAGTGCTATTATCCTTAATGTTTGTTCATAACGTGCAATTGCAGTTATATTTGATAGTTTATTGAATTGACAGATCAATTTTTTTTTAAGACAGATTGTTTGTTAAAATATGTGCTTAGTTGTTTGTCTAAGTACTTTGAGACAAATTAGCCTACTATTACATTTGACTATGTTACAACTTGTATATAATAAACGACCCTGGTAAATTCAGTTTATATTGATTATTATTATTATAATGACTAAGATTTGACTATTAAATGTACCTGTGTTATTAATAGTGTTGCTCAGATGCTCCATACTGCATCAGCAATTGTGATTTTGTCTGTATAAGCCACTGATTCCTAAGAAAATAGCATTCAAGGGTACCCCATTTCTGTACTCAAAGTATAGAGTAGGAGTGAATTGTAACATTTTTACCAATATACAATAGTATTCCAAAATTTACATTATTTTTTTATTATCTTCCTTGATATTTAGTAAATAGATCTAAAAATGATATTAAATGATAACTCGTAGTGAGTTGAAATTACAAATAAATTAAGACAGAAAATCAATAACATAGAAATAAGGTATCAACAATGCAAAAACCCTTTTGCATTATCTTTTACGTAGATTTTTCTTTGTAATAGATAAATTTAACTTAAATGACATACTTAATGCGTAAAAGAATAAAAACATTTTCACACATTCCAAAGTGTATTTATATCAACAAACAAGTTTGTTTCTTAATCTATTATTTTGTTACCCTTTCACATTATTGATATAAAGCCATATTTATTGTGTCAAAGACTTGACCTCTATTTCAGAGTAATGGGACAAACCCTATCCGAGCCTGTTACTGAGAAACAGTCATCAACATGTCAGGATTCAAGATACCTGGTGGGGTCATCCTGCATGCAGGGCTGGCGTGTTTCTATGGATGATTCACACACTCACATACTGTCATTGCCCGATGACCCTGGTACAGCTTTCTTTGGTGTATATGATGGGCATGGTGGTTTGTACATTTTTCTCTTAAATCTGTTGTATGTTAGCTTATGTTGCGATATTCTATATACAGATAGATTTGGAGAACTGGAGATAGAATTTTGACATAATTATTATGGAGCTAATGTCAAATACCTATTGCTATCCCTTTAGTGATTTTGTTAAGTAATCTCTTAATAGTTTAAGCCAAAATACAGTATGTTTCATGTAATTGATAGATAAAAATTATGTATGTTACAGCTCAATAGGATTCCTTTGACTTACTACTATTTTTATCTAACCCTTTTATTACATTTTTTTAATGTACTTGAGCAATCAATGGATGTTTTTCAGAGATGGATTATTTTTCTAGTTGTGTCAATTTATTGTAAGATGCCTTTTGTCTGTCTTCAAAGGTGCAGTTAGAGTTTTGTAGGACTAAAAACATATAGAGAAAAAAAAGACATATAGAGATTAAAATTAATAATTATTATTTCAGGGGCAAATATAGCAGAGTATGCAGGGAAACACCTACATAAGTTCATCACAAACAGACCTGAATACCACCTGGGAAACATTGAAGATGCCTTAAAGCAGGTGAATATTGTTGGATTGTGGTAATCTAAACAGCTCCTAACTTAGAATAAAATACATATATTGGAGTTAATAAACACCCTTTATAAACACAAATACTGCTGTTAAATGCGGCTTCGCCTGTGCGGTCAAAGTAAATTAACAATGAGTTTTTTTTATTATACACCAGAACACACCTCGTAGCTAGCAGATTTATTTTCCTACATACTTGTCACTTATTGTTATATTTTGGATAATTCACATAATATCTTTATTAACTATAGCTTATGTGCTATTCTACTATATTATTGTAAGGTTTCATTAAAATCCATTCAGTAGTAGTTGCATGAAAGAGTAACAAACATCCATCCATACATACAAACTTTCGCCTTTATGATATTAGTAAGGATATTAAGGATGCTACTGTTTTTTTATACTGACAAAGACCGCCAGAGTGGTAATTGATGTTCGCTCATTCATATTAGCGTCTATTTACTGTATTAACAATTATTATATTATATTATATTATTTTTTAAATTATCTTCGTTTTTAGGGTTTCATGCCCAAAGGGTAAAATGGGAGACAATTACTAAGACTCCGCCTTCTGTCTGTATGCTGGCTGTATTCCTGAGCTGTGATAGACAGTTGAAATTTTCTAACTAACACATGGCCAGTTTAATGCTACTCATTTTGTTATGTTAAATGGTAATCTGTAATTTATGGTAGCAACAATGTATAGACGATTGATGATACTGTTGATACTGTTCGTATCAGCTCAATGTATTTTTTTTAAACTGTATTTTCTTATGCAAATGAATGAATGAAAATAGACAAATCCCTACAGGGTTTATTGAGTTAAGTGGGACATGCATGTATATCAGGACAGCTGTTTTTAAGTTTACACTTTATTGGTAATGTCTATTACATTAAGAAAAATAATGGTTTTAATATTTGATGAAATCAATTTATTTTGAATATTAAAGAGTCTTAAGTCTATTAATAAATTTTCATTCTGTTTTACCATATCGCTTTTATTAAATTTGTATTAAATCATTCTATTTTATATGCTGTTGTAATTCCAATCATGTTGAAGAGTCCATGATTTAGACACTAGCTATGTGCATTCATTGTTTTTTTTTACCTATATATGGAAGTTTATACATACTATGTATGGAAGTCTTTGGGCCTTATGGCTGATGAGAGTTTATGCTCTTTCAGGGATTCCTGGACCTGGACCAAGCAATGTTAGAAGAAGATATGCTCCAAGAGAAGGTGGCCGGCAGCACAGCGGTTGTGGTGCTCATAAAAGATAACATGCTATATTGTGCCAACGTTGGAGATTCTCGGGCCATCGCTAGTGTTAGAGGAACAGTTAGTATCCTGTAATTGCTATTGCAAATGTAAAGTAAACCAAATAAAAATCAAGCTTTGTCAACCATTACACATAAGATGTGAAAAATGGTGAGTTGTTTGCTTACCTAAGCATGTTAATTAATCTAAGCAAGTTTAATTTAATTGGTCTATTTGGAGCAGTCTATTGATTAGTCTTGGAATTTTGCTTAGGAATTGTCTGGATGTATTTCTACTACTAATTTTCACCAAAATTGTTCCACTAATGAGTGATACTCAAATATCTCAATACCCTGCTCAATTGTTGAAAGAGGTATTTTGGGTCTGATACAACTTAAGAAACATACATAAAGGAGACAAATCAGCATATATAAACCGTGTTTTAGTTGTCCACAGGAGTAGTGGGAAAATTTCTACAAGCTATCTAAATCATGAACCTTTCACAATAGGATCAGGAAAAAAAGTTATTTAATTTTATCATTAAACTATTGCTTCAGGTAGAAGTATTGTCATATGATCACAAGCCCAACAATGAAGAGGAGCTCCGTAGGATTACCGCTGGCGGCGGTTGGGTCCAGTTGAACCGGGTGAATGGCAACCTTGCTTTGTCCAGGGCCCTTGGGGATTATGTGTTTAAGAGGAACTACAGGCTATCACCACAAGAGCAGATTGTCACGGGTGATATATTTATTTATATAAAACTAGCATAACATACATAACACACATACCAATAACTTGCTAGATGAATACTTTGAACCCACTCCATAAAAGATTGGCAATGCATTTGCAAACCCACAAGTATTGCACATTTCACACTCATGGAGGCAATCACTTGTTATCAGGTAAAACCTGGCGTTTACCCTATTTGTCTCTTTTACATTAAAAAAATCTTTTTATACTAAAACATGTTATAATTAATATAACATTATATGCACAAATATAGGAAAAAAATTATATAAACAATTTGAAAATCATAGTAGGTAATTTAATTTTAGCAAATACAATGTGTATTTAAAAGATAACTCATTTCATCATAATTTTTTTGACTATTTCAGCTTACCCTGATGTGCAGGTGCGACAGATAACGGACGATTGGGAGTTCATTGTGATCGCCTGCGACGGCATATGGGAGGTGTTGTCTAACGACGTAAGTTACAATCTGTTTCATAATTATTACGGCTTAAGAAAATTTCTCTAACCTACCAAAAGACGTCATGTCAGTCATGTACACCATTATAATAAAAGTTTACATTTATATTTAACTAGTTTTCAAGTTATGTTCTCTTTTGTATGTTACAGCAAATTGCTAAGTGTGGGAGCTTTTCATAGGCTTTTCTGAATGTACGCTCCAATGCTATAATTATGTGTTAGTTGTTAGTTTCCTTAAAATTGTAAAATAAAAAAACTTTTTTACGTCGATATATCTATACCGAAAAAAAAGGCCCTTTTTTCCCAAAGGCAATGGCAGTCATATCACTGGGATTGGAACTCGCATTGCTCGAGTATAATGAATAAAAAGCGAGTGCCCTGTCACTGAGTTATTATATTATGGGTGCTGTGACGCATGGCAATTTGGTAAAACAAATGAATGTTAGCCGTGATAGATCAGTGTCAGGGTGCTCGCTTTTAATTCTATTTACTCGAGCAACCTGAGTTCGATCCCCGGTGCCAGCACCAATGAAATTGTTAATTTTATGTGCTGACTTATCACGTGCTAAACGGTGAAGGAAAACATATTGTGAAAACAACAAAAAAAAAGTATTTCGAATATATGTGAAATCCGCCAATCTGCAGTGGGGCCCCGTGGTGGACTATGTCCTGATGTGACAACACCTCTGTACAGAAGAGGCCTTTGCCCAGCAGTGGGACTGTTCTGGCGATTGTTAATGGAGGAAACCATTTGTTCACATTACGCAGGAGGTGTTGTCATTCTGCCGCGCCCGCTTGCTCAGCGGTTGGCAGCCGGCCGCCGTTTGCGAGGCGCTCATGCAGCGCTGCCTTGCCCCAAACTGTGCCACTGGTGGCCTAGGCTGCGACAACATGACAGTGCTGCTGGTCTGCCTGCTACCATTCCCGAGGCTGGATCCCATGGTAAGTGATGTTTGATTACCAACTTAAAGAGTGGCAATGTTTTGCACCCTTCCTGAGGCTGGATCCCATGGTAAGCGATGTTTGCTTGTTTGGTTACCAACTTAGAGTGGCAATGTTTGGCACTGTGATTGGTTTGTTGTACATATGTTTGTGTTACCTTCTCGTTCATACCCGTTACAATATTAATATCCATTGCTTGTTACGAAGTTGAGAGGATGATTGGCCTACTAATCTTTGAATTTGTTTGCCATAAATGTGGATTGAAGGTGATTGAAGTTTACTTATTATCTTAGGTGCACTCTGTAAAATTTTGTTGAATAATCTGATGGAGTGAAGACAGACTAGAATTCAAACCTTTTGAACTTAGCAAGTGGAAGGATACAGATGCTGCTTTTATATTGCATGCATGTTTGTGCTTGATTTTTTTGTTATTAACACAATATTTCTCTTTTGTTGTTTATAAAAACTTCAAATATTTATTATAGACATATAAAGCAATTATTATAGAATTATTAAAACACTTCATTTCATTTTATATATATTCTTTTATATACGAAGCAAAATTATATATAAAAAAATTTTGACACGTATATAAAAAAAAATTATATAAAAAATTTTGCTTCGTTGCGTCATATTTTTGCATTGCCTTTAAATATATTTCGATTTGCAGTCTCCTTATAATTGCTTCGAGAGGTCTCGACCTAGCCAATTTTGGATGATGCCTTCGCGAAGATTCTGTTGACTATTAACTTACGAAAATTTTCATTAGGTTTAAGATGTATATAAAGCCATAATCACACTTACGATGGTTATGTAAAGCCTTACTTAAAAAATTATAAAACTGTCAGATTTTTAAGTAATTAATCCTTCCTAAAAAAGTATGTACTTAAAACATTTAATTTAAATAAGTAGTAAAGACCGGTCTTTCAATTAACAACATTATTTAGTCCCTCTGAAGTGTTTCCCTACAAATAATTTACCCATAAATAATTTGTAGTTTTATATCCATGGTAATGAATTCAGGAATAAAAATTTATATGTAAATTTTGAAAATACTTTCTTTCTATGCCTTTGGTAAATTAAAGTTTTGTTTTCTAATCAAGCTTTCTTGTTTTATATTTGCTTGTCTATTAACAAAAATTGCTTTTCTCGATTTATTTTTGCATGTGCTACCATCGTTTGTGTGGTTATGGTTTCGTCATTGATTCATTGTCAATTTAACTGTGATAGTTTGGCCAAAGATATAATCGAAAGTTTGTAAAAAATAATACCGTTGTGTTACAAAATCATTTAGCCGTTGTAAAGGGTCCTATTTGCTATGCAAGCAAGGCTGGTATGTTTATTGTGAAAACAAAAAAAAATACGAACTTAACAATTACTAATTCATCAAAATTTTAATATGGTCATTTTTCTATTATTTTTGAATTGGTGTTATATTGGAGTTATATAATGTTTAAAAGAAATTTTGCTTTGAAAAAATTTGAAAATATTAGTATAATTTTCTCTTATTTATTGCATGTATGAAAAGTTTTTACATAAGAGTAAAGTGCTGTGTTGCTAGTTTAGACTAGTGGAACCATTTATAATGTTATGGATTTTATTATTTATTGTTATACTATAAAACAAACATTGTTTCCTTAAGTACAAAATTGAGATTACCCTTTAATATTTATACTAGCCACAATTTTTGTGTGACACAAAGAAGTTTGTGGACAGTTGTTGTTAAACCTTTATCATTATATTGTCTGTTATATTTCATACATGTATTTATAGATATAGTGATATTTGAAATTAATAAAGATTTTGACAACTTTTTGGTTACAAAACCTTAAAAACTTCAAAAAGTAATATTTCTTTAAACATATATTTATTACTTTTAGATATTCATACATCGGTAATATAGTCGAAAACGAAATAACGTATTTACTGGCAACACTAGTTTAGTTATGTAACATGCTTTTTAACCATCAATTAGGCCCTTGCATGATTCTATCTTTTAAATATATTTTAATATCTTCTGGATTTGGTTTTGTGCTTAATGTTTCCGCTTTTAATAAATTAAGTTAAGGTTATTTTTTTATCTGCATGTTATATTCTAATTACCAGTAACCAACCCATAACAATAACATGCTTTTTGACCATAGATTAGGCCATTGCATGAGTTTATGTTCAATTTCTATCATTTAAATGCATGTATTTATATATTTTTGATTTGGTTTTGTGCTCACTGTGTCTGCTTTTAATAAATTACTTCACCGAGTGTTTTATTCTTTTGTTTTTTATCCTTTATACCTGTTTTTTTAAATGTTTTAATTAAGTTTCATTCAAATTTAGCGATCGGAGTTTGAGTTAATGAGCTTGACCCACCCCACTGCGGACTAGTGGACTTCGCACATTTTCGAAATACGTATTTATTTTGTTATTATTTCTAAAATATGCAGATTTCCTTACAATGTTTTCCATCACCGCTGAACACGTGATAATTCAGCATTTAAAATGTCAATGGTGTTGGCACCAGCACTCGCGTTTCTCGACATTGAATTAAGAGAGCTATTCACGGACTCAATATAAACGAACGAAAATGTATGTGGGTTATACTGCACTAATACGCCATATCTTACGAGATCAGATACTAAAGTGCTTGAAACTTCGGGAATTGCAATTGGAAGCCTCGGCTGTTGCGCGAATGGGCAGGCTCGTCCGGGTAAGTACCACGACCTCACAGAAGACCGGCGTAAAGTAGAACTATAATATGCGTTTCGTCTTGAGAGTGGCGTGGCCGGAGCCCTATTTTCAGAAAGTTGTCAACGCATCTGGAACCCTCGGGTGTAGCAGATGTCCATAGGCGGCGGTATTCACTTTACATAAGGTGAACCGCCTGCACGCTTGGCAACTTTCACATAAAAAAAATGTAACAAAATCCACGCCACAGCTTCGGTTATTGCACGGGCAAGTCCGTCCGGTTAAGTACCACGACCTCACAGAAGATCGGCGTGTAGTGGAAGTGTTATACTTCTGCGTTTCGTCTGGTGTGTGAGGTAGCCGGGGCCCACTTTATTAAAAGGTAGCAACGCATCTGCAACTACGGGTGTGGCAAATGTACATGGGTGGCAGTTATCATTTAACATCAGGTGATGCCTTGCCACCTTCTCATTTAAAAAAAATCCACAAAGTAACTACTTTCGAGAAAAAGTAAAAATACTAAGCTAGTAACAAAATAAGAATCTGTTTATCAGCCCAAAGATTAATAGCTGTTAATAAAACTTCTACGATTATTTGCGCGTTTCGTTTGTTTTTAAATTCCCAACGCTTCAAGTGCTATAGGCTGATTTGTATAACGTCAGTATCAGTCCGGGCCATTGTCCACTTTTAGATGCTTTTCTGTTTTTAGTTTTTTAACAATGTTGACATTATAGGAAACTGTACCAGCAGACCAGCTCCTCAACAACAGATTTATGACCAAGATGGAGGACTTACTCTACGCGGAGGACGAGGAGGAAGATCTTAAATGAATCGTTGTTTCTATTGTAAATTTATGTATAAAGTATAATAGTATAGCTTAGCTTTACCTAGGTAAAATATACTTGAGTTGGTGTTGCTATGGTTACGTCCATAGAGTAGACAGCTGTAGGCGGCTGACGGAGTGAGGGCTTTTTGGAAAAACTGAATATCTGAAGTTCCTGAATGTCACATCATGGTTTAGTTACGTGTTTTTTTACGCAATAATTCTCGTTGTATGTTTTCTTAGTTTTAATTTTAACATAACAAGTTCATATCTGATAAGAATGAGTCGATAATGAATCAAAGTATGGAATATATTCAGTGAAGGGTGGTGCTAGTAACGAAGTGCAATAGTTTTTGTGGCATTTTTCTGTTTATTTTTTATGTTTGTAATACTGGCCTCAAAGTTTTAACCGGGGCGTTAGTCATAAGGCTGTTAATTGATCCTGTCTCAGATTAGGTATCGATTCTTATTAAATATTTTCTTCGCTGTACGTACACTAGGTCGAACGTCAAATGTTAACAATAACATTGACAAGACATATCTCTTGCAAACCATGATTTTGTGCCCAGGTCAAAATTGGTTAATATAAATCACTTTTCACTAATACAACACATATTAAAAAGTTCTTAGTCCCACCTGCAAAGTGATATTTAACTAACAATGGAATTATTGCATGTGCCACGATGATATTTTGTTTGAAATGAATTAAAGAAGTTAATTAAATAATAATTTCTTGTATTTACGCGATTACACATTATAAATGAAACTAATTTACGGATTTATCGCGTTTATTTTTAATTTTAATTCCCGACGTTTCGAACCCTTTACAGCGTTCATGGTCACGGGACAGACTGAGGTGTTAGACGTCTGATTGTCATAGTTAACCCGGGCTACCGTCAGTTTTTGAATTATTAATTTTGTGTCCGATCTATGCAGAGGGAGCTAATTGTATCTTGTCTTGCAGTACAAACTACTGGACGGTAGCCCGGGTTAACTATGACAATCAGACGTCTAACACCTCAGTCTGTCCCGTGATCATGAACGCTGTAAAGGGTTCGAAACGTCGGGAATTAAAATTAAAAATAAACGCGATAAATCCGTAAAATTAGTTTCATTTATAGTTTATTAAATTATGAATTTGAGGCTGAAAAATAGGAACTACAAATCATTACTGAAAATATTATTACCTGTAAAATAAATTTTCTTTACAAGTTTGAACGTACAATATTCTTTATTACCTATATATTGTAGAATGCAGCCGACGTGCAATAGTCTGATAAAGATGTTTAATCTATTGACAATTTGTTTGATATTAAAAGTACAGTTAAATATTACGATTTTTGTGTTAACACGCGTTAGGACTAAAGTTGTTATGTGCCGTGTTAATCACACATACACTTACTATTACCGCGATCAGTCGTATTTTACGGTAATTTAAGTGAAATAAATTATAGGTGAAATGGATTTTTTCTAGTGTTCAATGATCGGAAATTTTGTATTTGAGATTTGAATAATTCCTATGTTTTATCATTTACGTATATTTTTCAATATAAAGGTGTTATGTTTCTATTACAACGATGTGTTTATTAATGATATTTACTTACGATGTTGTCTTATATTTTTTACAAATTTTATTACTCGCAAATAATTATTTAAATGCATTTAGTTTTATTTCTGTTTTTATACACCATGTTTTTTAATTGTTTTCCTTCTTATGTTTAAATGAAAAATGTTCTTTGCTTTTAAGACGACTTACCTTATGAAGAATATGAGATATTCAAGCTTGGTGTCAAAGAGAAATGTATTGTTTGTTATAGGTATTTTATTAACATTCTTATCTTTTAAAGTTTGAGTTAATTGTGTAAACTTTGTGAAATTTGTCATTACCCATAGAAGATTTGTTTTTAAGTGTGTAAAAAATCTATATAATTAGGAGAGGTACCTGTACTGTATCTTCATTAATCATACAAGAGACATAGTACCTATTTAATAATTTGAATATTTTTTATATTGTTTGCATTATTGAGCTCTTATTTCCACGTGTGTTTTCACGAGTTTTATTATTTTGTTATTAAATTAAAGTCTTTATTTTACTCATCGATATTACGATATTAACAGTAAGTTTTTTTGTATTACTTTCACTAGGCAAATAAAAATTTTAATCGAGTTCTAAGTCAAACTAAGTTCTATCTGGTCTCAGGTTAAGTTGTCTCGGCTGGGTCTAAAAGCGATTTCTTTCTTTCTTTATTTTATCAATTTTAAGAACGGTTATTTCATTGTTGCCAATTGTATCCTCCATCCATAGCATTATTTATCCCTCGGGCAGATGTGTTTAATTGGTACTCTATGAAAGTATACATTAAACATACAATCGTTACATGTACATCTAAATGTCTTTTAAATTATTAACAACTTTTTGTTGAAATATGAGTTTTCGTAACAACGAATTATTTATACGCCGACAACCATAGCTTTTAACAATATGTCACGTCACATAAAATTACGTCATTGAATTTTGTGTTGCTATAACTGTTACTGTTTTAATATTGAGAATCAATGATGTTTTTAGCCACTGATTTGTTCTTAACGTGCCCGGAGTGAGCGTAAGCCATAAAAACGACCTAATTGGGACGTTTTCGTGGCAAACAAAATAAGAGGCGGCAAATAAGTTTAATACGGGGATGAGAAAGGCAGATGCACCTCGAGATTTAAAGCTAAAGTGACAAACACTTACCATCCCCTTTTTTCTTATTGCTTTAATTACCTTATCCTTTTTAGACCTTTGGCAAGATGCGATAGGTTTATTACGTTTGTTTGTAATAAGAGGCCTGCCTATCGCTTAGTGTACGTAATACACCTCTAACCGAAGAAAATTGCTATTACCATGGTTTAACACGTCATACGGAAGTGAATTACGTTAATATGTCATTTAGTCTTTGTTCCGCTTTGTTGTTATGTATTATAGTAGTATTTATGTGATATATTTTTGTTTCAAATATTTTACTAGTGATAATATTTGTTAATACATCAAACCATAATACGTAACTGGTCTGTATGACTACTCTACTTTGAATACTTTGCGTAATTTTTTCAATATCTGTAAACCACCGAATTATGGGGTATGGAAATAAATTTAATTGTGTATAAAACAGGATTAGTATCTTTGTATTTTAGAAGTGTCGCTAAAAGTGTGAAATTTAGGTGGTGAATTATCCATCAATTATGAAAATGTTAATTAAAATTGTTTAAAAAAAAATATGTAATAATATTGTTTTCTAGAACTTTTGGGTAACCATAAAATTGATGTAACGTTCGCGCCCATGGTCAATTAAATTAGTTTTTTTCCAACAACACCTGACGATACACCCGTTATTTTTGAAAACTCGTTTGTGATACTTCTCCATAAATTTACTCTTTATAGTTTAGTTTTTTCTTCGATTTTTTTTTTTACTTTACAACGTTTAATCAATTTTTTATTCATTGCAGAAAGAGCGATTCTATCACAATTTGTTGTCGATGTTAAAAATAGTTGTACCTCAATGAAATAAACAATACAATTTGATTATTAGGCGGTAGTGATTTAAAGTCAGATACTATGTGAAAATGTTGTGACATATCTGTAAATTGACTAGTCAAGTTAGTCGAGCGGTCTAGTTGTACAGTACCTTACGATGTATATTATGTTGTAATAAAAATTTTACATTTTCATGTATTTTTCATTTCACTTTCCCTTAAATAAAATTACTTATTTAAAGAGTAATTGTGACATTATACCTCGATTTTTATATACTAAAATGTCACATATATGTATGTGTTCTATTAGTCTATAAGCTTCATTGTAAGCTTCAAAACCCGAAATTATTGTGACTTCACAAACACACCACCAGGAAGAAGTTTTTGATGCTAACTGACCAAGATAATCAAGTTTGGCTATTGTAGACTTGTGTTCAGAATACGAACGACTCTTAAGGCTGAAGTGATGGTGTATTGAACAAAATTGTTGTCTATAGGTACCTTTGTCTGTTCCATATGAGATTAGAGCCGTTGTAAGAAATTGGGCCTCATATTACCAACAACATGCCGTTGATTTCAAAGATTCAAACCAATTTTTATCTTGTAGTACTGTAATGCTGCATATAATTCTGTTACTAGTTATTATTTATAAAAGTTTTATTGTAGATGACTTACCACTTCTGAGTTTATAATTAACATCTTAAAAGTTTACTAGACATCAATTGACACACGGTTATTGCATTAACGTATGTACATCATAAATTTATTATAAGGTGTTGAAACCCACCACGAAGATCCGATGCGAATGTGTGAGAAACCTTACAAACGTACTTATACAAAATTAGAACGACATTGAGTGTGAAAATCTTAGTTTTTGCGTTTTTATTTTTTATTCTATTGTAAGATTTCTATAGGTAAGCGAGAAGGTGGAAAATTAGCATTCGGTTCAGCTAAGTGTTTCTCTATCCAAGTGCAAGATACTCCGTGGCGCACTTACGCCTCCACCGGGGGTCGTGGGTTCGATACCCACATGAGATAACTATTTGTTTGACTCACAGACAATTGTCTCGGATCTGGGTGGTCTTCTCGGATCTGTGATTGTCCACGTGCAATTTATGTATATATATATATTCTGATTTATGTATAGAGTACGTGTACAAGTAAATTTTTTTTTATTAAAGAAAAACAAAATCGACTTCAGATACCTAGCTTTGTATTCATTTTATAACTGATTTTCAGGAGTTCCCTACGTATCTCCGGAGCTCAAGATTCAATACTAATTAAATGGATACGGGACCAAAAATAAAAAAAAGAATCATCAAAATCGGTTCAATCACTCGAAAGTTCTCAGGTAACAAACTAAAAAAAAAATACAGTCGAATTGAGACCGTCCTCCGTTTTTTAAGTCGGTTGAAAACGTCCATACAAAGCGGGATAATGTTATCCTATGGGGGCAATGTTTACCAAGGGAAGACTACAATAGACCTTTCC